GGGGGCTGCTCGGCACCGCGTCCCGGGCATCCCCCCAAACTCCCGGTTAAGACCCTTCTTCCCGCGGGAGCCGGCGCTGCCGCCGCCTCTTCCTCCTCCTCTTCCTCCTCCTCCTCCCGTTACCGGGGGCTGCCCGGGCGGGCGGGGGAAGCATCTGCGAGCGGCGGCGGAGGGGTTAAGTGCGGGATCAGCTGTTCTCATGTCATTACGGATTCTCTTCATTTTATACAGAGCTCTGTTTGATGTCTGAATGCACAGGGGACTCCCCCTCCTCCTCCTCCTCCTCCTCCTCCAACTCCCACCCCTTTTATTTCTGCTCCCTCGCCCTCTCTCCCTTTCCTCCTCCCCTTCCTTTCTCTCTCCCCGCTCCCGCTCTGGCTCACACACACCCTTTGCAGACCGAGCGCTCGGTTGCCAGTGGCTAATGGCACCGGAGTGAAGGCGAGCGCTGCTGCCGGGCGGGCCGGCCTCCCGCCGCCGATGCGTCCCCGCTCCTAGCGCCGAGAGGAGGGGTCGGGAGGGACGGCCGAGGAGGGGAGAGCCCGGGGGGGCCTAAACCGGGAAGAGGAGGAGGAGGATCGCGGTTGTGCGGAAGAAGGAACGGACCCGCGAGCAGCTTCACGGCTACCTGTCGACACATGCTGTGCTCCATGGCTAACTCGGGCTGCCTCCTTGTCTCCAACTCAGGCATGCTTCCTCACTCTCTCCCCTGTCCTCCAGCCTTCCTCTACCTCCAACAGGTAAGTCACCCTCTCCGGGGGATTTATTTATTTTTATATTTATTTTTTTGCTTGCCGGTTCACACGTGTTTCTGGCCGGTTCCCTCTCGGGTGGAGGGTCGGAGCTTAACGGCATCCTCGTTGGCTGTGGGGGTCTCTCCGGTACCAGCCCCGCGGCACCGGCCGGTTGGGTTGCGGTGGTGGTTGGTGGTCCTTGGCCGTGGTTCCTGGGGGGTTTCTCCGGCGAGAGCGGGCTGAGGCGCGGGCAGTGCGGCAGGCAGAGCTGCCGGCGCGGGTCCAGCGCCTTCCTCGGCGCTGCTGTCGCTCGGCAGAGGCGAGGGGTGATGATGGATGCTCGGATAAAGGAATGAGGCTCCTGCCTGGCCTGAGCAGCCTCCGGGGAGAAGGGGAGGCCGTGAGCTTGTGCGTGCACACGCGTGTGCATGTATGTGTTTGTGCGTGTGCGTGCAGCCAGGCCGCAGGGTCGAGCGTGCGTGGGTTTGTGTCGCTGGCGGTAGGAAGATGCTGCAGAGGGACCCAAGGGGGGGGGCAGCGGGTCCAGGTGAGCCCCAGGACCGGGTGGCCTGGCCAGAGGGTCTCTGGGCCATCACTTTGGTCCTTAACTTCTGGCCAAGGTGTGCTGCGCTGTGGGGCTGCCTGTGGGTCCCACGCTGGACCCAGCGCCCTGCGTTCCCAGGCTCCTCATCCCAGGGGAAGCCCGGCTCGGGAGAAGCAGCAGCGTTTTCTTCAAAAGCCTCTTTGCTGCGTCGGAAATCCCATCTCCCAGCCAGGCGAACTGCTCCATTTGTGCTTTCAGGAGTTTAAAAATTCATAGCATCCTCACCGCGCTCGGCGTGGCCTGCGCCGCTCACCCGGCAGCCGAGGACAGGCGGCGCGGGTGCAAACCCTCCCTCCCCGGCGGGGAAAGGCTGGGGAGCATCTCCATCCCTTGGGACATCCATAACCTGCATCCCGGCGGACGCGGGGGCCGGAGCGTGGCCGCGCTGGCAGTGGGGCCAGCGAGGCCCAGGATGGCTCTGCCTGGCACCCCGGCCATGGAGCTGGCAAAGCCGGTGCTGCCGCTGGTTACACAAGTGCGGCGGCGGCCGCGGTGTGTGCACGGGGCCGGGGCTCACGCGGGGGCTGCTGCAGAGGCCGGCCAAGACGGGTGCGTGATTTATTGCCCCCTCCTGCAGGCAGAGGCTGGGGAGAGCTGGGGCTGGGCTGGCTTTCGGTCTTGGCTTCCCCAGGCTGTGCCAAGGTCCCCAGTGGCCACAGCTCGGCTGCCCGGGTGGGTCGGACACCCAGCAGAAGCCATCCCTGAGCCCCTGCCTGTCCCCGGGGAGGTTTTCTGTCCCTCTGAAGGGAGCTCATGGATGCTTTGAACCAGCAGCGGGGCCTGGAGAGTCTTGCTGGGAGCAGGCGGTTGCGTGGGAGGTTTCCCTCTCCGGCTGGGATTCCCCCTGTTCCCCAAAATCCCCATGTCCCCCCAGATCCCCATGTCCCCCCAAATCCCCTTGTCCCCAGCAGCCACAAGGGGCTGGGCTGCACCGCTCGCCCTGCGACACGCTCCGGCATGGACCGGCTGCGCTACCAGCCAGCTACCGGGGCTGCAGCGGAGGCCAGCAGTGTTGCGGGCAAGTGTGGGCTACCAGCCCCCCGGTTGGCCTGTGCATGGGTAGAGTTTGGGGTCCCCGGGAAGGAGAAGCCTTTCCCCGGTGCTCTCTGCACCCCGCAGCTCCCGGTTCCACCGTCACCCTGTTTGTTTTAATTGGGACGTGGTGTTTAGCGTCTCTTCCTCCCCGCTCCCCCAGAAGCCGCCTGCTCCTTGGCAGCACGGCCGGGCTCGCGGGCCAGAAAGGAGGGATTTATTAAGAGAGATGGAGTTGGATTTTTCACCCGGCTAACGGGCGTCAGTGGAGGCCAAAATGCCCGTCCTCATCCCAGGGCTTGTCCCTTGTGGAGGATCCTGCCCCCCAGCTCTTGGGGACGGGGTGTTCCTGGTGCATCGGGACGTCCCTGGCAGCCGTGGCGTGGGGAAGGGGCGCAGGGCACACGGTGCCACCGGCTCCTCGTCCTGCCCTGCCTGGGGTTCACTCTGCAGCAGTGCTTTACCCCAAATTCACTCCGGATTTCGGACCTGCGCTGCTTTGCCGTGCCTGCGGTGGAGGATGCGCAGGGAGCGATGCTGCCTCTGCCCCGGGGGCACGTTGCCCACCCTGGGGTGCCTGTGCCCACTCCCCTGTGCACGGCCAGAGATGCTGGAGGGATTTAATTGACTCTCTCTCTAGGTGTTGTGGGGTGGGGGCTGTGGGGGGCTCGGTTTAGACCCCCTGGGTTATGTTTCCCTGAATGGGGGGGGTGTGTACGCAGGGAGGTGGGTGTCCATGCGTCAGACCTGGGGTGGGACAGTGCCTGAGCCCTGTGGCTGCTGGGGACCGTACTGGCCACTGGGCTCCTCCTGTGCTGGGACCCACATCTGGCTGGCCGGGGGGAAGCAGAGTTGGGGGTCCGTGGGGTCTGTGTGCAGTAACTGGCCTTATCCCCTCTGGGGGTGTGCTCTCCCCACGGGAGGGCTTGTTGGGGTTTGCTGTGTTTGTTCCAAGGAGGCCACTCGTGTCCCCCCCAGCCCCGGCATTTTCACCAGTGACGGTATTTGAAGGAATGACCAAGAAATGAAGTTGTCCACAAAACTTCGGCCAGCGCCAGGGAAGATCCAGTTGCCACCAGGCTCTGGCGGTGCCAATGGCTGGTCCAAGTGGCTGTGGGCAACTTGCAGCTCGCTCAGCCCAGTCCAGTCCAGTTTCCCCCCATGAAAGCTGGGACTGTTTAGTATGAGGAAGAGGAAATATATTGAAAAACACTGACATTTAATTTTAGCTGCGCAAAGCTGGTTTTCCCACAATAGCTGTAATTTGGGCCTACACTGCCTGGCGATGCTCTTTTTATAGGTGTATTCCTATTTTAGTACTATAGTGATGGGTGAATGAGTAGATTAAATTAGATTTAGTATCTATCATTTTTTAAAGCGTTACAGGCAGTCGGTGGAGGGGGGGTATGGTTTAACAAAGAAGAAAGGCTAATTAGGAGCCAGCACAGGCTGCCCACGCCGGCTCCCACCACCCCTGGCTGCCCCCGACCCGCGGCCGCCCGTGCTCAGGTGGAAAATAAGGAATTTGGACCCAGATTTTTCTGCTCTGCCCCTGAGTTTGCAGCCAGGGATGATGGATGCTGGGTGGGATGCGGGGTGTCGGGGTTCTACTCCTCCGGGGATCTGCAGAGTCACGGTGAGGACTTGGTGAGGACCCACGGGGCCAGCGCTGCCACTGGGTCCTGCTGCTGGCACCAGCCCTGGCATCAAGGTGGAAGAAGAACAAGGTGGAATCTCCTTCTCTGGAGACATCCAAAACCTACTTGGACAAGTTCCTGTGCAATGTGCTGTAGGTAGACCCGCTCTGGTGGGGGGGTTGGACTAGATGATCTCCAGAGGTCCCTTCCAACCCCATATGATTCCATGATTCCGTGATTCCATGATTCCATGATTCCATGATTTTATGATTCTATGCACGTGGCAGCTCTGTGGCTGCAGAGCTCCATTCCTGGAGACTGTGTCTGTGAGATGATGGGATCCAGCGGTGGGGCTGGAGGGCAGTGGAGGCACCGTGGGGCACGGTGGCCTCTGCAGAAAGGGCATTGATCCCTCAGGTGCAGCTGGCATTGGCAAGTGGGCACGCTGGGCATGTGTGGGGCTGGGCTGCCGGGAAGGCATAGAGAGGTTTGGGAAAGCACCAGCATCGATGAACGCTGGGATGGGTGGGATGAGCCCATGTCCCAGCGGGTGACAGGGTTTGTGGTAGCATCAAGCATCCCCCAGGGCTGCGGGCATTGCCTGCAGGGGGTCGGGTGCGGTTCCCAAATCCCCTACGAGCCCCCGCTGGGTTCTCACTTTGCCCCCCAGCACCTTCCCAAGCATCCAGCTGGCTCCAGAGGTGCCCAGCTCCGGTGCCCCCTCCCAGTGGGTTTGCAGAGCATCAGCAGGATCCCTTCCAGCCCCGGCGTGAGCAGCTCTGCTGGGATGTCATCCCTGGCAGCAGGAACCCCTTGGGCTGAGTGAGGTGGGTGCTGGAAGGACACCCAAGCTGGGGGAGGGATTCTGTGGGGATGGTGCTGGCAGCGGTGCCCGGGCAGCCTCCGGTGCTGCTGGGGATGGCAGGTAATTTGGGGACCTGTCGAGGTCAGCACCTGTGGAGCTGGGTCCCATTCCCACCCTCAGGAAACCCCCTCCATCAAAGAGCTGGGGGAGGAACTTGGTATGGGATGTAGGGCTGGTGGCCACCAGGTGCCCGGTGGTGTCCCCAGGGAGGTGGGGCAGGCAGGTCTGGTTCCTCCCACTCCCCCCTCTCCAGAGCTCTGGGCTTGTAGCACTTCATCATGATTTTCCCCCCTGTCTCTGAGCATCCATCCCTCACTGCTGGCATTTCCTGAGTGGAAAATGACACATAAGCTGACATGATCATCACCGTTGCAGCTCTGCCCTGGTGGCATTGTGGGGGGGTGGCACGCCGGCTCCTCACCCCCCCCAACCAGTCGTGCAAGAAGGGGATGCCCAGGGAGGGGGGAAAACAGGGGATGGCCATGAAGGTCCTGTGTCAGGGCAGGGGATGGAGAGCCCAGGTTGACCCGAGCAGATGGAGAACAACAGTGGGGCTGTCCCCAAGCATCCCAGAGGAGCCCCGGCACCAACTGGGGAGGGGAACAGCCCCCAACTTGGGGGAGATCCCATATCCCCCCTCCCAAACTCCAGCTGCACCAGCTCAGCATCTCTCCCCACCACCAGCCTTCAAAGAGCTCTGCTCTCAAATCAAAACCGGGGAGAAGAGAAGAGCGAGAGCGGGCGACGGTGGCAGCTTATTTTGTGATCTGCATTGTGTGGGGAGCTCTTAATTAGAGCTAATTAGACTAATTAACTTGCAAATGAGAAACTCGCCTTTTTTCTCTCCTTTTTCTTTCCCCCGGAAAAA